ACTCATCCATTTGTATGAAAATTATCGTGCAAACGATGAGTAGATGGAAAAAAAGAAGAAAGGATAGAGTGGATTATGTTCAGTGTATATGTATACGAGAATTGTCATCGAGTAAATGAAGAGCGCAGCGAAATTCATGACAGCATTCGAAAAAGGAAAAAAAAGCCACAGACGAGGGTAACGTTGAGAAGCGGAAAGAGAGAAAGGCTTTCTTTTTCGTTCTCTGACCGGCCATTCTGTACGATGTCACAAAGTATAATACGAACTAATTACCTCGTCGTCATCAAAGCTGTACTTAACTGAAACTAGGGGACAATAAGTGGGCACTTTCGTGAACTGTTCTGCATACGTGGCATCGGAAGCAAAACTCGTCTTCTGATATGAGGAGACAAAGAGAAAAAAAGACAAAAACGATGGAAGGAATTGCGAATGAGAGCGAGGAATCTGGAGCAGGGAGAGAAAGAGAAAGAGCAAAAGAACATTCAGCAGCGAAGGATTATTGAAAATGGAAGATCCGCAAAAGAACGATAGAGACAATCGAAAAGGCACGAACAGGAAGAACTTTCTTTCAGTTGATTAGATGCGCGATATGAAAAAAAAAACTAGAAACGAGAATGAGAAAGAGTGCGCACATTGTCAAAGCTTCGTCGCCTCTCGACTCTCTTTTTAGCGTGCATTGCCGCGCGTACAAAGGGAAAAGTCAAAGTAGGTACCATCATCTGGCTACGATGACCATCGTACGAATCTTCAAGAAAAAAATACTGTAATTAGCCTCTTCAGGATTCCCTATCTGGATCTCATTTTGTCAGGAGCACATTCGACGACATTATTGCTGTATCTCTTGTACTCGAAGGAAGGACAAGTAGGCGAGAAAAGTAAGGGAGGACGGATGTGCGTACGTGAGTAGCAGAGTGCCAGGACCCATCTCCCCTGTTGTCATCGGCGTCGCCGTTCTTTCTCGCTGTGAACGCAATGCATATGAACTTCAAGAGAGCCAATGGAGCTGTGCAGCGGAAAACTTCAAAGCCACCAAAACGATTGTTCGGCAACGCTCCCGTGCGTATGCGTTTCGAGAGGCAGCCGAAGGGGCGCAAGTACTCGCGAACGCGCGCGCCCATCCCTTTGATTATCTTCAAGCTACTCATGCTCTTACTCCTTTTCTCTCTTTTCGTAATTCCCTTTTTTCTTTCTTTCTCTTTTGGTAGAACAGACGGAAAGCCGATGAAGAAGGGCTGAAATACGTCGGGAAGACGTGCCGCGACGCGCATCGTAATTCTTATATGTGTAGCGCGAATGAAAAGAGAAAAGCCACCATAACTCCTGTATGATGAAGGAACACTGCATTATGGCAAAGAGTATCGTGCGACGCTTGGCGCCTCCTCGCCGGACGGAGCGAGTTCATTGATTTTATGAGTATTCGTCTGACCTCGCCTTCTGTGCGTGATTCGATCGAGAAAGAGACGTCGATAATTAATGCTCCATCGAATTTCATTCTCTTTGTTCATTTTCCCTGAACAATAAACAGATCCAGATTATAATTAGTCTGCCCTTTAAAAGTTTGGAGCATTCTATAATTTTTAGATAAAAACATGATTCTTCACAGATGTAATTATTATTTTATTGAAAAAAAAACTCATTTTTTTAATATACGCTATTGCAATAAAATTTATGATTGGAACAATATAAACTTTCACAATGTTACATTTACAATGTTAGTAAATAAAGGTAATTAAACTTTGTTTTCAAAATTTAAAGACATTCCAAACTTTGGAACAATAATGTATATCTACACTGCCATTAGTTCGCGCTATAAATATTTTTTTATATTTCATTTACATTAACTTTTTGGTTCATTAAACTAATTCTTGAAATTTTTGTTGATTATTAGGAAAGGAGTACACTGAAAAAAATGCATGTAATTTTACATGGAAATTACGTGTTCATGCCTGGAAAATTACCTAAATATGATTGGAAATTTACAATTTCCAGTAAATTTCCAATCATATTTAAGTAATTTAAATAATTTTCCAGTCATAAACATGTAATTTCCATGTAAAATTACATGCATTTTTTTCAGTATACAAATGATTTTTATATTGATTTATTATTATAAATATGAATCTTTATAAAGAAGGAACTTGTGTCGGACTTACCAATCAGCTAAAAAACAGTCAAACATTCCGTGTTAACTCCACTGATGTAGAAACCTAGTAATAACATTGAGATTTGATGGGTTAATCCTTCATCAAATATCCATTATAATCGCGTTATTTCTTGCGAAAAGACGCCAGTGGTTAAGGTCTTCAAATAATCCAATTTAAATAAACTTTGCATGTGTCTGTTCAACTTTTACAACCTGTCAAGCAAGGTTTCAACAAGTCAACTATTCATTAAGACTCGTTACAAATAAAGCTAAATATCCGTGACGAGGATCATAACTTGCACAGTCTCAGTTCTGAGAGGCGTCGTTTGGTGACTGCGACCACGACAGCGACCACTATCATCGAGAATTACGAGCGTCATTATCATCCAGAGTAATGTTGTATCGGATCGAATTCTTTTGCGTCTGGAAAGATACAATCCGGTCGCTGAAGAGCGATATTGTCGTTGCAGTATAACCCCAGCAATATAATGACAAGTCGCGAGTCGATTACATTCATAATAATCAAAGTTATGACATTTGAATGATTTTTCGAAATAATTAACAAACTATGACTCAATATGGTACAATTTCTTCATGCTTACTTACTATTCTACTAGATTATCTATATATTTTGTTTGATGTGCTGATTTTATTTAGAGAAAATAATTTTTTATGATCACGTTTTATTTTTAGATTTGTCTTTGATTCAAGATCTTCGATTGGAATTTTCATGTCGCATTTTGTACTTCAAGATTCCGTGAACTGGTTCTCGATTATCGACATAAATAACGGCTATACTCGAAAGTTATTAATATCTTAATTATAGGCTCTCGTTTTTGCGAGAACGTCTGGTCGATTGGTTTTTCAAAGCAGGATAAGAGTCTGCTTACGCGACTTCTATTATAAACGGCAATATATACGATTGCATACAATTAAAAATTCCTCTATCTTCTCGTACAACTGGATTATGAATTATCTTTAGCGCTTAAAGCACAATTATACAGACTATTTAAAAAATAGTTATATATTTTAAGAGCAGGAAGAGTACATCAAGACAAGAGAAAAAGATCTAATGGATAGGTTCCAAAATGTACCTATTGTATGCGAGATATGAATTAGTTTTTATCATCAATTCATTACTATAGGACGTATTCTACAGCTCTTAGTCTGCCTCATCAATAAATAAAGTGCTGTCTGTGAACCATGAATCTTCACTTTTTTAGAAGCCGTTGATAGACCAATCTAGCATGATGAAGAATTGTCCAAGAAAATGATTAATGCCTTCGGTTACTGCTATTTTTATAATATCTGTTTCTGGACGTTCTTCTATTCTTTTCAATACTCGCTCCTTTATATCAGATATATGAATTGTGCGATATATGCTGCGATCTATTCGAAGTGTCAATACTGTCAATGATTCAATTTCTGTAAGTCGCTTATAAAGAGCTTGCTGAATATCTTGAGATCGGCGATATCTTTGGGAGCAAAATTGACCAGATTTCTGTCAATAGCTTTTAAAAAAGTGTGTTAAAGATCCCCAGTTCACAATCAGCTTTTTATTTACCAATAAGACTAAGGATTGTAGAGTCATCTCTTAGATAAATATTGATCCATATCTCAATGAATGGTATTTGCATCCGATACATATCTATATGTATATTCGTTTTAGGACTTATGTTCATTAGATATTTTTCTTTGTGAACTATTATTTGCTCTTAGATCTTTTTTTGATACTCTGTTTTTAAAACAATTTTTGAAAGCATTAGTCTTACAAAAGAACTGTCGGAATTGTTTCTTATCGATTTTTATGGACTTGGTATATTGTAGAAATGTAGAACAAAAAAAAATGAAATAATTTGTATAAGTTTGTATAAAAATTTAATGGTATCTTTTATTCTTACAATAACAATGTATTTATATTTTTCGAAAATGTTTAAAATGAAAAAAATCTGTTAATTTTGAGGAATTGTTTCAACTCTTGTATCTTGAGATAAGCAGATAAAACAAATAGTGTTTAATATTGTTTGATGTTCTATAACATATCCAAAGCTTATCAAAATCCATTAACTAACATTTCCACGGTTTCAGACTGTTGGATAAGAGCGTTATGTTAATTTTGTTTAACTTTAATCTCTTCTCATCCCCGACAGTTTTGACAAATCATTCATTACAAACACAAGATCATCAAAATCGATGATGGACATTTCCGATGGTTCCCTTTTCAATTGGATAAGATTATGTTAATCGTTTGTTATAGCTCTAATCTCTTATTATTTTTTAAGCATTTTCAACAACACGCTTATTTTTTATATATATATATTTTCAATATTTCTATATATTCTAATTGTATTTTTTTTTAATTTACCTAAACTTATCTCTTTACCAATTACATTATTCTCATCTTCAACCAGCGAATTATGAGTTATAATTTTACATTAGTGTCCTGGTATATTAGCAATGCAGGAACGTGACAAAGATCTATATCGGACGATCTCGCGGGTGGGAATATAAAAATTTGCGATATCTCCCCAGCGCAGCGGATTGCGAAGCGTCGCGTTGTCGCGCAATCACGACGGCACGCACGCGCTCGCGATGGAACGCCGGTCGGTGGAAAATTCGCAATGATAAGCGAGAGGCGCGATGCCGCGTCGAAACGGGGGAGAAGAGTCAGAAAGAGCGACGGCACGCGGACGCGCGCAGCCGACGCGAGCATTGGATAAAAGCGAGCGTCACCGTGCGGCGCGTACATTTATCGCGAGTCTACGAAACCGTCAACCAGAACGGCACCACGTGAGAAGACGCGCGCGATGGTATACGTAAACTACTCTTGACTCTTGAACCATTGTACGACCCGCATTCCGTTTTCGACCGCGATAAATTCCATCAGATAATCGGTGCAAATACGCATCGAAAATGACTTCGTCTGGAGAATTCGAGAGAAGATAAATCGACTATTTCCGGTGCTCTTTCTTATCGTTCCGGATGTCGAGTGGAGATACATAAGTCTTGTCGCACGGGCGACTTCGTCGAAATAGCGTGACGATTTAAGGCAATAGCAAATGATCCGGAGTCGCCAAGAGCGCGATTTTCTATCAAGAAGTGACTAAGATGAATAGAATGTGACGGTCCGGGACCAGAATTTACTTGAGAGGAAAATCGTATCGAAGTCACACGGACCGTGATGTTGATGAGAATGGCCGCGGCAAACGCAGCGAAATAGAGAGTTGGAAGAGAGCGAAAAAATACACGAGAAAAGCATTCGTCCGCATGATTGCTCGACGTGTGACGTCAATGAACTGAATAGTGAGCCGATAATCAGTGTGATAACTTCACGCTACGTCGATACATTATCAGTAGACAATACGTGCAAACGGAACGACGAAGACAGGCATTGCTGGAGAATCGCGCGTTCAAGAAGCTCGGCCGCCAACGTAATCTAATCGGGACCGACTGTCAGGTGAGAAGATCTGTAGAATCCGCGATGTATTTAACCGTTATAACGTGTTGTCGGAATTAATCGGTTGCTACGCGATCAAATTATCTCACCGGATGATTTGTTAGCTGCGCTTCGATCGTTACCTCGAAACAAGATTGTCTCGTAAGGAAGATAAATGTCTTCCACAGCAATTAAGAGGAACATAGATATTCATCTTGACAAAATTCTCGTTTCCGTTTTGACAAGGAGAGATGGCTGTGTCTTATCTTCAATTTCGCATCACAAAGTTGATAGGATCGGCTAGTTGATACAAACGGAAGACGATTTTACTCCATGTTGCATATATTAACGATATGCATTTGTTATAAAAAATATACATGCAGTTATAATGTACAAATGTAAATTATACATAGTGATAATCCATCCATATCTAATCGCTGTTAATTAAAATGATTAATGAGGAAAGTCCATTAACACGCGTGCAAATAGTAATCGGGTTCAATCAGATTAGCGAGATTTCAATCTCGATGTTGCACGCCTTTGCAGCTCTATTTACTGATTTATTTAAAATCAACGTTGCATGCAAACCATGAATATTTAACTCTTACAATTAGTACATACGATTAAATCATTCGTGTCCTGCGCACAATTTCTTTTCTTTGAAATATTAGGAACACCAAGTAATTAGTTATAATACACACACATTTATATACAATCTTTTAAATACATAATTATACAAATACTTTCTAAAGATGTTAAAGTATATGTAAGAATCATTTAATAATTTTTGTATATTTGTAAAAGTGATGAAAATTAATTCAATACACGAATGACCTATCGAATGTAGTAAAAGACCAAAAAATAATCATTAACTTCATAAGCTTGCATATTATCGTTGAACTTATTTTCTCTCTTTTATCTCAGTTTGCATATAAAAAATCAGGCCATAAATGACTCTAAAAATATTGGAGGTTCGAATTATTTTTATTGATAAAAAAATTATGATGTAATGGAGCAATTTCGGATTCGGTTTTAGAGTGTCAAAATACCATGAGAATACCATAGTCTAGTCTCCCGATCAAACATTAAATTTTGTTTTGTGGGGGCCTATGTTATTGGCTACGTTTACACCGTGCATTTAGGCCGAGGCCTATACAATAGATGTCTTTGTTTATCCTGTATATCAAACAAAGACACCTATAGGACACGTATAGGTCGCGGACTAAGCGCACGATGTAAACGTAGCTATTCTTACTCTTCGACTCACAGTAATAAAGGATATCCTGATTCCTTTCTATTTACATTGCTGTACGTTGCGCAGTAAGTATCTAAAATCTCTCACTTGTATATCTACAATTCAAATTTGTTCCACCTCCGATCATTCATTAGCGTCATGTACCGGATAATGCACTTCTGCTGATCGATTTTAGCCTTTGCCTTCGCGCAAATGAATTCGCGGTCTCGCGGAAAACAAAGTGATTGTATTTTTTTGAGTACTAGACACGGTGCCATCTTTTGACTAATGTTCCGTTGGAGATCAACAGCCCTTCTGTCGGAGGTCGATTACACAAGCACACAAAATGAAGTTCAATGTTTGATCCGGAGATTAGAACATGGCATTCTTATGTACTTATATTTGAATGTTCTATAACCGAATCTGATGTCCAAATTGCTTCATTACGTCACACTTTTTATTAACGAAAAATAATTCGATTTTTCAGAATTTTTAGAATTATTTATAGTCTGGTTTTTAATATGCAAGCTGAAGTAAAAGAGAGCAAGTTAATTTAACGATAATATGCGTTTATTATCGCTTATTATCGAAGTTAATACACAGAGAAAAAGGTTTCTTTGGATTTAGTATTCCTATTATATTTATTTGACTAAAATTTGTTTTATTGAAACAACATATGCTTGTACGAAATATTATATTATTTGTTTGAATAAAAATTTTGTTGTTTCATTCGAAAAACCTCTATTGTTTGACTGAAATAACATTATTATTTGAAATAATATCTTTCCAATAATATATTATTTGATTACAATGAATACAAACAATGAAACAAATTATTTGTTTGAAAATGGCAAAATATATTGATAGAGGTTATGGTAGAGGTTATGATAGAGGTCCATGCTAATAATTGCCTTCTTAGAACAACTATTATTTTTTGGCCGAAATTACGAAAACAATGGCTTATACGTCTAACAACAGGATTAAACGAACAGCACTATATGCTATATCAATTATGTTTGTGCAGTATAATTTGATCACGCGAATACCGAAGATAGACATTATCTGTTCAAACAAATAATGTATTTAAGACAAAGATATACATTGTTTCAAATTCAAACAATCGCACTTATTAATTTAAACGTTGGTTTGTTTGGACCATTCCAAATAACAAATTTATTTGGATATAATAAAATTTATTAAATCCAAAGAAATCTTTTTCTCTGTGATATGCAAACTGGTAGATTAAAGATGCAGGAAAATCGAGGTACTTTCTATCGATAGAAAAATAATTGTGACGTGATGGAGCAATTTGGATGTCAGATTCGATTTCAGAGCGTCAAAATACAAGAATACTATTATCCAATATCCGGAATAACAAATTTTTTTATGTGGCTGTGTTATTATTGCTAAAATTGTTATTTTTCTGTATTGCTTTGTACTCTTTTTAGAAAAAAAAAATCAGATCTGACCTTCCTGGTCAGAGATTTCTTTTTAAAACCAGAGAAAAATGAACATATGAGTTTAAAAAAATTGATCAAAATTTAGCCGGAAGTTCTTTCCTTCTGCAAAAGAGCCGGATTCGTTCAAAAAAACTGGAATCTCCGGCTGAAAATCGGAGAGGTGGCAACTAGTGCGGAGGTGGTACTGGAAAAGTACGCGTAAGGTATTTAACTTTGAGGCGCGCAAGGTAAAAACAAAACTTGGCGATTTTTCTCGCGATTTCGTGTGAACATGTGACGGAAGGGAGGATCTCGCTGGAAGGGAAGGAAAAGGATTGGCTGGTCGGGGCGTTCCTCGAATTACCGGCGGAATTGCCAGGCGGAATTAGCCGCGGCGCGGTACATCACAATTAATTCGTAATTAAATCCTTTAGGCGGGAGGGAGGAGGCGTGGTCCCTCTTTCGTGTATATGCCGTAGCTCTCGCGTGGGCGGCCAGGGCGTTCGAAAGCATGCTCCGACGAGCCAACACGATGATGTCGAGGGGGGCCGCGTATCGCCGCGCCGGTGTGACAGCAGGAAATAAAGGGCAAGCCGTGCATTAACGTCGACGGTCAAAGGGTCGCTCGAATATCGACCGAGAGACGGTCGACAGTGTTAAATTGCCATTTGTCGGTCGGGGAATGTCCCCGCTTGTGCTTCGTACCCGCGCTGACTGTCGTCCGATATATGTCGTCCGTCTTGTATACTTTGACTCCCTATTGATGAAATCCTGACGCTCCTCATGACATCCCTGTATCGTTTTTAGTATGTCGTCGAGTATTTCCCTTTGTTCCGGCCCATTTTTTATTCTTCATCTTGATCCGCTTTTACACGTGCAAATAGCCGCGAGAAAATATTTCGTTAGAGCGAAAGTCATGTTAATCACAAGCGACACGCTTTTATAACGAGATCTTTTTCGGTTGCATTTTTTGTACACGTGTGTGTATGCATGCGTATATCTTATGCATTTAAAATGAGAGAAATTTAGAGATATACTTAAAATTTGGAACGAAAGAACAAAAAGGAACATGTAAAAAAAGAGAAATGTATTATAAAAAAATAATAAAACACACGGAAAGAACGATTTTGCTAGGTACAGATCTGAGAATATATTTGTTATTACTATTAAAATAATTATCTAGAAATTTCAGGCATGATGAGCAATGCTGTAAAAAGTTTTGACATTCTAGCAATCACTTTAAACGTCCTACATAATTATTTTTCATTTAAAAATGTGAATAAAAATTTATATTTAATGTCGCTAAAAAAATGAAAGAGACAGTTCCTATAAATCATTGTTGAATCAATATTATAATTTATGAGTCTTCAATGAGTCTTTTTTATGAGACCCTAAATTAATATTGAAGAAGAAGATATTAGACCAGATATGGTCTGGACGACAGTATAAATACCTATATTAATATTAGTGATGTATTGAATCGCAAACAGTTATGAACATTAAATAGCAATTTATTTGGGAAAAGATTGATGAAAGTATGACTTGATGAGGATAAAATTCGGGGTACGATTCAGTCTCGGAGAACCCTCACAAATATAGCTCCCAGATTGTTTACCATAGGATCGTACTCGATGTGACCGAAGATTACTTTCGCCATCCTGATCGCGTTTCTGATCGAGTTTCCGGGCTGCGCGGAAAACTCGATACGAATTACCGCCCGGGGGTATAATATCGGCCATCCAAGCCTAGTCGCATCCTCTCCGACACCAAGTGGAAATCCCGTCTGATCCCTTCTGTCGATTTCGTGCGTCACGTTCATCTTCTCTTCAATTCGCACTGCGTAGTTTTTATTACACTTGTTATTATTATTAAGACACGGAACGGAATGTCTGAAAAACAAAAAATTTTACAATAAAAATTCTAGCACGATAATAATTAATCTAAACAGTGAATAAATCAAATAAGAAAAGAGAACAATTAAATTGGTCGTCGTTCGATAATGATGCTATCAGCATTTTAAAACATTATAAAGAACTTAAGCAAAAATAGCGCAATTATTGAACATCACTCACGCAGATTTTATGTGTTTACTCTCCGATATATAGGACAGGACACTTTAGCTCTTATATCGATTATTTTATTCACTTAGTATCAAATATCCAACGTTGATATTACCGACTCTCGAATCTCTCCCCTAAAAATATCAATCATCTGTGACGTTAATACCGTTTGTAATAATTGAAAAAGTTTCCACACGTTAATTAGAATCATTGTTCACATAATTATTACAGCTTTTTTTTTTAATTTATTTTGTTACGTATCTCATTTTTAATTAAATGTCAACGTAG